CATTTTTACTAGGGTGAATACTGAAACCGTAAACCAAATAACAAAAAACCCAGCGAGGAAAATGACGACAATAATGTCGGAAACGAAAAATCCCAAATAATAATAATTCTCTATCTACTTCACTTAAATAAGGACTCTAGTCGTAGGAGCAACCATTTTAATCGTTCTCACTGGCGTTAGGCTTCTGATTTTAAAAAAAAAACAATAATTTAACTATTAATAAACCACAATAACTCATATAAAATTCGCTGAAATATCCTGCGACTAGGAGGATTATTCAATTTTGCTAACTCATTAATTTGTTTTTCGCTCAAAAAAGCAAACTGTTTGATGTAAATTTTGGCCTGCTCGTCTGGCATATTACGAAAAAAATCGAAAAATGCTTTGGGTTCGCTGTTTAGCCATAATATTTTTTGGCCGCTCCCACTTTTAGAAATCTTTTTGCCACTAGAATCAGCCAACAACGGAAAATTGAAAGCAAAAGTTTGGTTCTCTGGGTAAAAACTCTTAATTAATTTTAAACCAGTGGTCAAATTTCCTCACTGGTCGCTGCCTCCTAATTGTCCATGACAATTATAATTTTTGTATAAATAATAAAAATCATAAGCCTGGATAAGCGGATAACTAAATTCTAAAAAAGAAAGTCCGGTATTTATTCTTTTTTTTACAGTCTCTTTGCTGGATAAATAAGCAATAGTCAAATATTTGCCGGTTTGCCGTAAAAAATCAATAAAATTCATTTTTTCTAGTCAATCTTTATTATTTAAAATTCGGAAATGGTTATTCTCTTTTAAAGGTCAAATATAGCATAAATAATCCTCTCATTGTTGGTCTTTGTTGGTGTTCGGATTTACACTTAATATTTGATAAATATCCTTTAGTAATTTTGGGTTGTCAGCATAAAATTGTTCGAGAGGGGCAAGGTCATTTTTTTCTCTTTTTTTGGGCTTAATTAATATTCTCTCTATTTGTGCTTTTATTTTGGCCTGATAATTCTCAATTTTTTCGATCGCCAGTAGCGGTCGCTCCTCATTTTTATCACTTGGGTCGCCGATTTTACTGGTGGCTCCGCCTAAAACCAGGAGAATTTGAAAACCTTCTTTGGCAAAGCGAATAGTCTGAATGAGTAAAAATAAATGTCCGATATGAAGTCTTTCTCCCGTGCAATCTATCCCTAAATAAACCACCTTTTTTTTTGGTTCAAGTTCCAGTTGGTAAAAATTATCTAAATTAGCCACATTAGCCACTATTCCTCTTTGTTGTAAATCTTGGAAAAAGAGTT